CGTACGACATCTTACCACCAAGGTGTTCGGCGGTTCAAAAACCCGGACTTGATCCCGTTGTCCCCATTTTTGATTTGAATCTCATTGGACTTGTAGAATTTGAATGACTTTAGAGGGCATTGGCTCGCTACTTCTTCCGGTGCCCGGAGTTCAACCTGAGATATTATTAACATTAATAATAAACTCTAAGTCTCAACATATAATTCGTATTAACATTATTAATTAAGTAATACAAACGTAGTCTAAAAGAAGATTATGGTGGATTATTATATATACCACCTGAGTAGTACTCTCGATATGATCGACCCAATCGTGTATCATAAATTGTATCCATGACGCAGCTATCACGTTAAACTGTTTTCCCGTGTCGATTAGTTTTCTACGAGCCAATAACTTTGTGGCCACCACCATAGGATCTGGCCTCATCACCTGCGTGCGCAAACAATATTATTAATGACCATTAGCAAAATCAAAATCAATCATGCTTAATGAAATTACGAACCGAACCGATCATAACCGAGAAAACAAGTTTCGCCTTTTGTTATTACGAGAACTGAAATTGCAACAAAATTTTAAACTATATGATTTAAATTGCTAATTATTAAGAAATTTGTTGCAATTACAAGTTGAAACGACTGACATGTTAGAATCTTGGAACTAAAAATAGGAACTAAAAATACTATGACGATACTAGCACAAAAAATGCAATTTAGCCAAAAAAAAAAATATATATATATTTGACAAAAACAAATCAAACACGAGAAAAAACACAATAATAACCTTGTGTGATTGAGGAAAAGGAAGTATGTTTCGTCCGAAAAAGGAACCGGATAAACTTGCAGCCACATGGTCGCTAACTTTCCCATCATCACGAAAACGGGCCGGCCCGTCAGACCGGAGCTCCACCGGCTTTTTACCGACATTAAACAAATTGTAGTTCTGGTGGAGGCGCCGGCGGAGAACTAGGTAAATTAGCCCCACGATAACCGGTAGCCGGTGCCATTTTCCGAGTTTGTCCACAGAATGAACAATCTGCGTGCGATAAAATTAATAATATAACAGCTTAATCATTTTACCATCAAACGCGCGCACAAAAAATATATACATTCAAAAATAATAAATTACCAAGAAGATAAATTTGTCGATCAGAGTCATCGACTTAAAGACATCATGGAAATCATTGTGAATAACATTTAGTAAGGGCTTAAACAAGAAGTTTGTGAAGGATGACATGATATGTAAAAGATGTGAAATCTGTTGAACAATTGCTATATAAAAGCTCAATAACATATAGTGTGTTATATCCTTTTATAATAAGTGATGGGAAGCCACATAAATTGAAGGAAAGTACTTAGAAATATGAATGTTGAGTACTATATATGTACAAAATGGACCAGTAAAATAATATAATGCGTGACAGTAAATTTATATAATACTTTTAATTGGCCAAGTTGAACTTTAAAATAACGTGGACATGACAAAATGGTAGTAGATTCAATGTTGGAGATGGAAATTTCATCTACCATTCAACTTTCCATCATGATATGACATATATATTTTAATAATTTTCAACCAAAGACAACCCATTTTTTATACAATTTGAACAATA